TTTCCTTTCCTTTCCTTTTTTTTTTTTTTTTTTTTTTTTTTTTTTTTATGGTCCAGGATAAATATTTCCAAGTTTAAGATATCATCCTCTCAGTAACGGAACTTCAAGCAAAACCCGGTAGGTGGAGAATTTGATCTTTGATCATGTGTCTTTGAAACATGAGTGTTAGTTTATAATGTGCATTTAAAAATGACTCCAGAATCTTTTGTGACCTGAAGGTTTAGCTATCAACAAGAGTGAGGAGGGAAGATAGTATAATGTAAAGATTGAGAATATGGGCTTCTAAGTCAGCCAGACCCATTTACAAATTCTGGTCCTGCCTCTTCATATCCATGTGTCCTTGAACAAATTACTTAACCATTATGAGCCTGTTTCCTCAACTAAAAATTGGGTATAAGAATAAATTCTAAATATGATAATATGTAAAACTAAAGCAAACACTCAAGTATTAGCTATTATTATTTTTCCCACTCTGAGGACTTCAAGCACAATTACTTTAAAGTTAGGCTTTTAAAACTTCGTGATTTACCAAAAAAAAAAAATCCCAGAAGAACTGGATCATTATGATCTAGTAGATGAAGCCTCTTCTCTGTGAACCCCATTAGCTTCAACCCTGAACTTGAACCTTTGCCTCAAGGGTCTAGAAAGAATTTCATCCTTTGTTGCTCTTCTAAATATTCCTTTCACCCACTCCCTTTTTTTCCCTTTAACCACCCACCAGTTCGTCAACATAACATTGACAGTCTTCTCTGTTTGTCTTGGCTGATTGATTTTCCTGAGTACCATTAGAGGCATTAGCCTTCACCTGTCTTTGCTGGGTTATTTGGTTTGTGATGGCCTGGAATGCTCTTACACTTACCCTTTTGGAAGAGGTTAAGTTAGAACTCAGGCCTTGCCCATAAATGATCCTGTTAGTTACAACGTCTTGCCTTGATATACAACCCTAGCAAATAGGAAGTGACAAAATGGCACTAAATTCCTTTCTGTATGGGCATAAAAATTCGTTGTCTCAATTCAGGAAGCTGAAAGAAGAAGGACAACATTTTGTGTTTTTATAGGTATAACATGTGTAAGTTATTATGTAGAAGGCTGGGAAAACAGAGCACAGATTTTTTGGTGGCATGTTTCTTTTTATATAAAAGTGCATTCTTGGATATCCTAGAACAGGGGTTGGCAAACCATGATCCATGGGCCAAAATGGCTCTCTTTGTGTTTTGATGTTAATTGAACACAGGCTGGTTCATTTACATACTATCTATGACTGCTTTTATGCTACAACAGCGAAAGTTAGTCGTTAAAACAGAGTCCGTGTGGACCACAAAGCTCAAGATATTTGTTCTCTGGCCCCTTATAGAAGAAGCGTGCCAACTCGTGTGTTTAAAGTAGAGCGAAGCTTCTGCAAAGTCTCTGTGGGCTTGCCAGGTGTGTTTTACCGAGCTGGTAAGGATACAGAAGCCATAGTACAATTTCCTGGGACAGTCCTGGCCAGGGTCATTTCTCTGTTGCCCTCATAATGTATACATGAGGGAATTTATACTGATTTGATAGTGTATTTTGTTCTTTGGTTTAACAAATATATCCCCCCACGGGTATGGATGCCAGGGTTCTCTAGGAACACAGAAGAACAGACAGAGGCTACAGTTATCACTGTGTTGAATCAATATGACCATCATCAGTCCTGAGGACTTCTAGGTATTTTTAAAATACCCGCATCCTGCAATTTAGCTCCTCATGTTGGGACATATATGAGAATTTTCATGTTTTGCGGCCACAGAGAAAGCAAGAGAATTTACATCAGTGACTAGTTCCCTAGCCTCCCTCTTTGCCGATGCCTAAGGCTGTAAAAACACGTTTACCAGAAGTATTCTTCACACAAACAAGATTCTTGACATGAATAGGACCTAAAACGTTATTATCTTATACAGGATAACCTGATAAGAGAGCACTTTGAGAGAGTATATTCATTCCCTAGCATTTTTTAGTGATTGTGGGATTTATGGTGGCAGGTAAAGGAAAGTCTGTTAAACTAAACCAGACAGCCTAAGAAGAGAAGCAGAGATAATGGAAGAGTATTATGAAAGGAAAGATAATGTCTCCAAAAAAATTTTTATTTTCCATGGCTTCTCATTCATGAACACACAAACAATTTAAATATGGCATGGAATAGATGAGGCAGAAAAGAAATCTTGAGTCTGTGAAAGCAACCCGGAAATGTGTGAAGATGATGTATTGCCTGGAAATTAATCTTTGACTACACAGCTAAGTGCACAGTTATTTCAGGCATAAAATTCCTGCCTTACTAATTAACTAGTTTTCTTATATTAAATGTCCCACCTACTCCAAAGAATTCCCCTGCTGCCATCAGGAGAACAAATTGGAACTATTTTATGAACTCGCAAGCTACAAGAGTAGAAAGTTCTACAACTTTGAAAAAAACAACAGCTTGATAAAGGGAGTTGGTTTGAGTATATAATTTTAGATTATGACTCTTATCCCATCTGGGAAAACGTGGGACTTAGGGAATCAGTGCAACCAGTTCTGAGGCAAGAATACAAGAATTTGTGTTTTATACACAAAGAGAACCAAAAGCCAGCAACATTATCCAGCTGGGTAAAGGGAGAAAGAATCCAGATAGAGGACCACTGCAGGGCAAAAGTGGAGGCCAGCCATGAGCAGAAATGTAAAGTGACAGATTGGATTTGGTAGAGATGCGTTTGGGGCAGATGAAGGTTGGGAACTGTGCTATTGGCACTTCTATAAAGTATCTGTAGCCACAGCAGGGGTTAACTTGGAATTGTTCATATTATATCAGTCAAGGTCCAGTCAAGGGTCAGAAACCACAACCACTTATTTCAGGAGAAAAGAATTAATATGAAGAATTGACTAGATATTGAAGAACCTAAAAGGCAAAAAATGAACATCAATTCTCAGAAAGGTGGCAACTGACAAGAACAGCTACTACCCCCTGGGTCTGGAGGAGCAAAGGGAAGGATTGGAGAATGGGTCCCACGGACTGAAAACCAACCACTGAGGAGGGTGCCATGCTAGTTTGCTTGGGCCGCCATGAAAAAATAGCACAGACTGGGTGGCCTAAACAACAGGAATTTATTTTCTCAGTTCTGGACACTGGACATCCAGGATCGAGGTGCCAGCAGAGTCATTTTCTAATGAGGGTTGTCTTCCTGGCTGGCTGATGGCCACCCTTCTTGCTGTGTGCTCACGTGGCCATTCCTGAGAGCATGCTAGTGGAGAGAGAGAGAGATTAGGATTCAGACCCCGACCTTATGACCTTGTTTAACCTTAATTATCTCCTAAAAGCCTAGTCTCTGAATGCAGTCACAATGGGGGTCAGGGCATCAACATATGTGCTTTGAGTGGACACAGTTCAGCCCATCGTAGGGGTGCCAGCTGGCCTGGCACTCGTGTATGTGAAGTGAGGAGTGAGGAGGCTGGTCTATGAGTGCTGAAAACCAGCAAACTGCTCCCGGAGAGAACTGCCAATGCCAGGGTGGAAGAAGCAGAGCTGTGTAACACAGAAAGGGACGGCATCCTTCTTCCTCAAGTCTTCTAGTCTCCCTCCAGAATCCCCTGGCAAAGCAGAATGGGGTGTGCAAAGCCCCCATCTCCATCAGCACAAAGCAGAGTATAAAAGGAGAAATTGCCACTGAGAGGCAAGAGCTAAATGAGAAGTTCAATAGAACTGTGACAGAGATTGCTTGTTGCTTATTTTTAACCTCTCTTCTTCCTTTCATTTCTAGTTCTATTACTAGAACTAGAATTATTAGGAAGGCAAAACTCAGCTAAAGGATGTTTCTCAGCCTTCCTTGCAGCTAGATATGGTCATAGTCTTGCGACCATATTTTAACTAATATATGAAAGTGAAAATTTTATGTGGGGGCTTCCAAGAAGTGTTTTGTTTTTATTTATTTTTTATTTTTTTGCTCCTTCTTCCATCCTGCTCAGAATGTAGATATGATGGCTGGTGCTCTATCAGCCATATTGGACATGAGGACAAGAAGCACTCTCAAGGGGGCACCTGGTAGGCTCAGTCAATTAAGCATCTCTTGATTTCAGCTCAAGTCATGATCTCCCAGATTCTGAGATCTAGCCTTGCATCAGGCTCCATGCTGACAGTGCAGAGCTTGCTTGGGATTCTCTTTGCCTCTCCCTCTGTGTGCGTGCATGTACTCTCTCTTGTTACCCCTCTCTCAAAATAAATAAATAAACATTTAACAAAACAAACAAGAACTACTCTCAAGGATGGCAAAGGAGCTGTGGACTCTGCAAAGTAACCATGCTCATCCTGGATTGCTAACTTCCAGATTCCTTTTATGTATATGAGAGAGATTAACTTCTATCTTGTTTAAGCTGTTACAGCTTTTCTCGTATATGCAGCCCAAACTAATCCTAAGGCAGATGACTCTAGGCTAGCTTGGACAGGTAGATCTATCTTGCTTAAAAGATGGTCATCCCTCTTCAAACTAAAGTTTGAAATTACCCTCATGGTACTTTAATTTGTTTGAATGTTTATTTTTGAGAGAGAGAGAGCACGAGCAAGGGAGGGACAGAGAGAGAGGGAAACGCAGAATCCGAAGCAAGGGCCAGGCTCTGAGCTGTCAGTACAGAGCCTGATGCAAGGCTCAAACTCACAAACTCTGAGATCATGACCTGAGCCAAAGTCAGATGCTTAACCCAACTGAGCGACCCAGGTGCCCCATCATCATGGTACTTTAAATTTTAGTTGGCTTTGTTATTAAAAGAATTACTAAAAAATCTCTTTATTTAGAATTTAGTTAGATCAGAAATACTTCTATGAGGATTAAGGGAGCATAATGATATAAAGCCATAGCTTACAATAGATTTGTTCAGTCAGATTATTTTTTCCAATGCTAAGCTAAGATCAATTGCTAAGATTTGAAGTATTTTATAGAAATTGTTTGGGTGCCTTATAAAAATGATACTAATCCTCACATCTGAAGATTTGGGTGACTTAGGAAAATTGCTACTAATTCTTACAACAAACCCAAGAAAAGATGTTCTTATCCCCATTTTACATATAAGGAAACTGAGGCCCAGGAAAGCTAAGTATATAGCTGAGGATCTGCTGTGAGTAATGG